CTCTTCTACATACGAACCAGTACTCTAAACAATCGTATCATAGAACAGCAATAACTGCCCGGGATTTACTGTAGTTTTTTAGTAATTCTTTGATATTCGAGGCCTTTTGTTATTCCAAAACATTCATCTGTGTAAGAGCATGTATTAGGACATTGGTTTAGGTCATAAAGGTTGGTGTATCGAGCCAAATAGTTCATTTTCCTTGGCGAGATATAAACCGATACTTCGTAGCTGACTACGTGGCTGTCTGATTCTGAGTTGCATAGCCTATATTTTCTAATTTGATGAGGGATTCTGTCTCTTCTGGTTAAAGAAAACAATGCTATTCACAGATGAGTATTCCTAGATGAAGATCATTGAAGCGATCATGTATGGTTATAGAGCGGGCCCTTCCTGTTTGCGAAGATCGCTCGCCACACGGCGCCGAGCTGTCTGATTTTGATACTGTAGTATACTTGACCTTTAAATTACTACAATATTCTTACTATGTTTCACGCGGAAGACTATCAGAGTGAACGATTTGATTCTACGCTTTTAAAGATTTGTCAAAAATTATTGTATATCTAGTTCCTTCAAAAGCTGCTAAATATTACATGAAAAGTAAATCAACAAGGAGTTACTTTCACAAATGTTTTCTCTTAATATAGTTTGATTTCAAATCACTTTGTGATTTATCAGTATAGATGAACTGCATGCCTTTGGTAGCACTATTCTTTACATCTAAACCAGACCCTCCTTAGAGCGTCAACTCGGTCGAACTATTTTTGAAAATTGAGAAAGACAGTATATTACATGGTTGGTCAAACACAAGAAAAGTTTTAAATGAGACAGCACTTTTCAACACATTTAGGGCACGAGTACACCCTGATGTCAGGGTCTAGTTTTTGTATTAAATACATTATTTTATTCAACGTGATATAGACATTTTTCAGTCCAAGATCTTCTATTTCTGTATTATCATTTTGAAATAAAGCATAAACCATTGTCCTCCTCCCTGTGGTTTCTGTGTTTATGTTGTTATGTTAGCGTTGTTCTTGATTAAAGTTCTTATTTATTTTGGTATCAAAATCCAGCTCACTTATTTGAGTTCCGTCGTCCCAACGTCCCAGTACCGGTCTGTCCTGTTGGACTTTGGCCTTTTGGGATCTCTGCTGATCCGTGCTGATGTTTTGTCAAACACTTTGGAGAATGGAGAAGCTATGCGTTGACTCTAGCTCGACTGACAATTTGAAGAACAACACAAATTTCAACAAAAAGAGCCTCAAATTTAGCTGAGAATTAGCATTTTATCTATAAAGGAATGTGATCTCTTAATTTACGAAATATATGAAGAAATGGCAACGTTTTTTCTACGAAATTGTCTATCCATAAAGTTTAGTTTCGGAGTCAAGTGAAGCTGCGAGGAGGACAGTGTAAGTGCAGGCTAAATTTACAGTCATTGTAAGAAGGTTTTAAGGAAAGTGGTGGTATTTTGCTCTTTATAAGTTAAACAAATAGGATTTTTATGACAATACCCATAACATTTGACTTGCAATCATGATGTGGCGGGAGTTTTTAATCAGTGTCTCCTTGGATATGTTGGCGGTTGCTGTTGTCTTTGAATTTAAGTTTTTACTGTATATTTTGAGCTTGTCCTCCGGTTCGCCAGTGTCCTTCTTGTCAATCATTTATTTTTCCCAATTTTGCTGGGCTATTAACGTCCGAAATTTCATCATGAAATCATGAAATCTAAGTTACTAGTAGATTTTTCTTTTATTTTATAATACGAAGTATGACCCTATAGCGTTATCACAGCTACTATTATATCTGAAACACTTAAAGGCCCAGTTTGCACCATTAGGCTTTGCGAGCCTCTGTTATTGTTATGATTTGGCACCAAAATACTTCTAGTATCCAATTGAAATATCACCATAAAACGAAGTAAGATGGTTGAAAATTCTAATATTATCCTTTAAAGTGCTTAGAAAAGTGAGATGGTCAAAGATTCAAAACTCACAGTACAATTTATAGACTTTCAGTAAACTAAAAATGGCCGCCGGAGGGCCCCAAAGCATAATGGTGCATAATGGGCCTGTCAGTTACACAAGTACAAATTAGGAAGACTAGATGTAAGATCATGGTCACCCGGACACTGGTTAGCCCAGTTAACCTTGGTGAGGTTAACTGACCAATTAGTAAAGTAAAGTTTAGCTGAGAAATGGCTCAGAATTTAACTGACAAAGACGAGTTTCATACGAAAATCGATGACCATTGATGTTGACCAGCGTCAACGGCTTAAAGGGATATTATGGTAGTAACTAAAAGCTATATAACTCAAAACTACAAATTATTTTCATATCATTTATTCATGTCTATTTTTTAGGCTTATTTTACTATTTTAATAAAATTACGGAATATCCAGAGAGCTACGTCATTGACTTAATTATAAAAATATAACGCTAATTTTCGATTTAATCTCGAATCTCGTAACAGTACACTCAATTTCCACACCAATCAAAAGTTTCAAAATCAAATTCACGAAGTCTTTCAATTTGATTCAATAAATGTCAACCTGGTTGTTCATGTCAAATGAATACGGATTTCATCGCAAAAGACATCAATGCCGTACTGTTCTTTAAGCTCCGTTCTAATTCTATACCTTCCAGGGGGAGCGGATCTCCTAATCACTTGCGATACGACAAGTTCCACTTTCTTTCCTTTTTCCAAAGGGCACTTTAGCCCATGGCCATCGCATGCGTTTGGGTTGGGAATGTGTACATGTATAGGAGAACCAGCAATGATCGCATTTATATCGATTTTAGCTGCACTGACTTGTTCGTGTGGTGTGAATGAGATGACTGATGTCATGTTGTCCCCTCGTTTGAGAACGCACGGGTCACTTGTACATGGATTCACTTCAAGAGAATGGATTTCTCCAAGATATGAGCCACAGTCCGTGAAGTTTAGCTTCATGGCCTGAATTGAGGTAACAACAGTGATTATTAAAGCAAGGCTGATAGCTGGCTTCATCTTGAAGAATATAGACTTCTTGCAACACTGGTATTTAATGAGAATTATCGCAGCTGACTTCAATGCTCGGTTATATATAGTATATGTGTAATGGACACCTTGTCAGTGATGTCGGGTGACTATAATCATGCGCTGAGATGTCGGATGACCATATAATCATGAGAGCTACTGAATGAACAAAGTTCACTGATTGCTAATGAAGGCATCTCTTTTTTAAAAGTCGTCTATCAATTTGATATCAATTTTATTTTGATGTATTACACAGCCTTAATATGCATTCTTTTTCTGTTTTGAAATGATTATGTTTATGATTATGTTTAAAGGTGTGGTGAATGTACCTGTGAGAACGACGAGATTGAAGTTTTGTGCATCAAGTCCTTTTGCGATTGTTTCATGCTTTTGTTTTAGCAATTTATCTCTTGTTGAAAGTTGCTTTCTGATTGGTTCAAAGTCAAAGATTAGGCTTTTTTATATGTGATAAAATCACAATGGTTTTCGGATGTACGCGAGCCTTTGATATGAAAGATCGTTTCGGAATTCTTTTCAAAAAAAATATTTTTTTCTTTAGTTGGAAAGAATATAATATCAACTGTAATATTAGCTTGTAAAGATTTTTTTTAACGCGRCTAATTAATGAAAATAAACATCGTGAAAAAAACTATTATTGGGAAATTTTTCAAACCCTGCACGTAATTAGAGGTTGCGTGAGTAGTGGTCGTGAACCCYTCTTGTTACCTTAAACGAAAACGACTTGTGCGCAATCATGATTTAAATTATTTCACTATTTCTAGAAATGTTCATTGTGTAGAATATTTCGTGACGTTGCTTATTGTTTTCTTATTTGTTAACGGCGCGCCTCGTTAAATCATTTTTCTGTAAGTATCTGCCTTTGGAGTGATACTTAAGTTCGAGATTTTGAGACCAATGACTTTTAAAAAGAACTTCAACATCCTGAAACGGACAAAATGCAGTGCGATAAAAAGCGCGGTATTTCTTGTTAATAGTTTTTTTTTTTTTTTTTTTTTTTTTTTTTTTAATATTTCTGTTCTTTATCCTTAATTAAGGATAACCCATGCTCCTTATAATTCTCTCGATTCCCCGTGATTAACAATTATATAGTGTTTAAGTAACAATGCGCGCAAAAAGCAGGCAACTTTCTATTGTACTGCGGCAATTGCAACTTCCCCACATACGAATGTCTTGGTGCACTGATTATATATCAACCTATGGGTAACACATTTTTAGAATAAAATGTGAATAATTACTTAAATTTCTTTTGTATTAAAAGATCTTGTCCAATCATAAGCACTCAAAACAATAGCCAAAAAATGCTTCTAATTTGCTATGTTCCCCACATAGAATTGCTATTAATATTAAAGCTAAGGAAAGCTTTTATGAAGTCGRAATCAGATATTAAATAAAATATTAAAAAATGCGCTTACTTTTGAAATTATGTCAAATTTTAATGTTTTAACCAATGAGATGGATGGATTATACAATACAAAATTAGCAYCTTCRTGCATTCCATTGACGTTTGATTGCCTGGTTCTTACTCGGACCATTACTTAATATATTACGCGCTCTTGGATGATCGAGAACAGTGTGTGTACGCTATGAAGTATACACACTCACCGCCATAACACCATTCAATCTTACGTGCTCTCTGATTGGTCTTTAATGCACATAAGCACGGATAACACCATTCAATCTTACGTGCTCTTTGATTGGTCAGACCAATCGAATCACCCATTTCAGCTTTGGAGGAAAATATTATTTAAGAAAAAATGGAAAAATGATAAAATGATTTTATCATTTTTCCGTGTGTCTTCACTCTTATAGAGTACGTCAAAAATGTAATGAGAACAACAGTCACATCACTCAACTTTGTCTCGTGGCATAATTTCTTTGTTCTCATCACATTTTGACGTTTCACATCATCTATGTAACTTTTCCGGCGATTTAAAATACGATAGATTTTGTATTATCGTAGCAAAAATCGACAATGTGAGCCAGCCTTTATAGTACAGGCGAAAAATGGAATCATTTTTTCAGGAGAGCGCGTAATTTCATTGAAACGTTTGAAAGAATACAACAGAGCGCGTGCACTGTCTGACCAATCAGAGGACACGTAAGATTGATAACACATACAGTTCTCAACCAATCCAAGAGCGCATACTATACCCAATTATATTGAATTTCTACTTTAGACTTAAAAGTGCTCTTTGTACTAATTACAAGGTTTATAATTGCATCATCCAATCACTATATGGTCCGATGTAAGTCAAAACATCCAACCACTTTATAGTCTGGCTCTAGAGATTTCTTTGCAAGCTGCGTCGATGCGGACCATATACTTTGAAAAGTTGCTTATTGTTCTCTTTAACAATTAGACCTCGAGGTCGAGTGGACTACGAGCTAATAGCCCATGAGGCCGAGTCCGCGAGGCCGAATGGGCTATAGCTCGTAGTCCACGAGTCCGAGAGCTCTAATTGTTTTAGTATAAACATACTAATCGGTCAAATAATGGAAACAAATTGAAATATCCTTAAAATAATTTATTAATGAGATGCCGCCATTTTGATTTCCCGCGAGTGGTCTATCATAAATTAGACCATTAGTAGAGTAGCCAATCACAGCGCAGTATGAGTGATAGACCATTAGTATGTTTATACTAATATTTGTTAACGGCGGCTTGTTAAATCCATAACTTTATATAGAGAAATGCAGGAAATGAAACATGTGTTTCAGTGTGTTAGTACACATCAGAGGCCTGGATAAATCAATATTAGATTGTTTTGCCGTCTATGTTCGGCTGTTCATCCGTCCAAAGTCGCTTGGTTGGGGGGGGGGGGGGGGGG